ATTCCCACCTGCATTTCATAGTGTTCCGTTCAAACAAAAAATTATATCATATATGTCTTAGCAAAAGAAACAAAATACGATTTTATGTTTATCATAAAAATAACCAACCTCATCATACTCAACCATATGGCTACAATAATGGCATATTCCAAGCTCCGAAGGGACTAAGCCATAGTTGGATTTAACACCACATTTGCACATGACAGGAGGTGCTTTGTAAATTACCATTTCTTTCTTGTTTTCCTTAACCTTTCGCGGTTCTTCCGGCCATTGGTTCTTAGGACCATACAACCACTCCTTGAAATGACACTTCGCCATTGAAAACACCTAAATAAGTAGACATTAGTACATGAACACATATAGCTCAATATTTCAACACATACATTTTGCACTTACTTCATGCTTGTTTGGACACACAAACTCCAACGTATTCTCAGGGTTTATCACAGCTCGATCTCCACAATCGCACAGAGGAGGTTTCTCGAGTCGTCTAACTGTGGCTAGGTGCTTCTCCTTAGCCGTCATTGGCGGAGGGTTAGGGGGGTGGAACCCACCGCTTGAAGTGCTCATGTGGATGTCTTCCTCTAAACCAATCGTCGAAAAGTAGGTATCTAGGATCAAACTTGTCTGCACCGTCGATCCACTGAAAGAAAAAACATCTCTCATGGTCCTACACAATGAGATTCCAACAAAGTATTAGTAGCATATTTACACAAATAAAGAAAAAAGATAGTGAAAACAATTTCTTACATTAAAACGACTGCATGTGTAGAAGCAACGCGCCGCTGTGTCCAGATGTTTCGATTGAAAAACATGGGCCGAGAAACCACAGTCACAGTTAGGGACAGGGAAGTCAGGAGGGACGGAGGCATCTTTGATAGACGCGTCGGGGTATAATTCTCGAGGATGACACCGTTTTCACCAAAACTCCTCCCGAAACATTTCTTGCATCTAACAAAAAGGATATAATTTAACAAATATAAATCAAAACATCACAAATAAATGTCAATGAGAACCATAACTACAATACAACTAATTTCGTTCTAAGAACCGAAAGCAGTTAACATTAAACCCTAAACCTAGGGTTTCCCATCTGATGCACAACAATGAACCCATAACATAACTACATGCGCCTAGGTTTGCTAGCTTTTTCACGCCTTGGCATCAGCCTACGGTTGTATAATACATATATCGAGGGATAGAATAAAACTCTAAGTGATGACGATTATTACGTTAAAAATCCGATTAATATATACCGAATCGATGCGAAAAAAACTAGAAGGAGAGCGAGGATACCTTGCTCTCGAAGATCTACGGATCAAATCAAAGTTTTCAAGGTTCAATATGCCGATTCGTGAGGTAGGAAGAAGTGGAGAGAGAAAAAACCCGAGAGGGAGGAGAAAGAAGAGGAATAACGCTCGGGCAGGAAGGTTGGTCCGAGGTTAAATGATAGGGAGCTCGGCGCCAGTCACCCTGGCGCCGAGCTTTCTGCTATGTCACCTTCCATGTTCGCTTCGAGCCCAGGAGCTCGGCGTCAGGGACGCTGACGTCGAGACGTGTTAGCTCGGCGTCAGCATCAATGGCGCCGAGCTAGGAGTCCATAGGCCCTGTTCGGCTTACTATATATCGATATTCATTTGTTGGCTTTTTTCGGTAAAAACAATGTTTTTCTCTCACAACAATTCGGCCGGAACAGTATTTTTCAGTCGGCCAAATCAAGTTTTGCATCCGTGAGCGGGCCTATATTCTAAAATATTTTCTCCGAGGATCTATTTGAGAAACTTAAAAAAACTAAAATGTAAAAATTTCGGGCGCCCAGCGGGAGGGAGCCGACAGCCGTGTCCCATGTGAGATGAGATGAGTGGCAGAGTGGGTGAACGGCGCAGACCGGGTCGGCCGGCCGGGGGAATTCATGACCAGCCGAGCACCGTGCCGCCGGGGCTGCTCGACACGCGGATTGGCTACGACCGGCGGCCACGGCCCACGGGACGGCTAGTCCCCACTCCCCACCCATTGTTGCGTCGTCGTAAGAGTGACACTTGACCATGCATGTTTGGGCAGGTCTGAGTCTGACGTCTGGGCCGAGCCTGGCCTGTCAGTGCCAAGACGCCAAGACGGTTGCTGAATCAGTCTTGGGGGCTACTCGACCACTAGGACTGCTATAGCTAGGCAGCTGCTGTCGCTTGTGTTCCAACTTCCATCTGGCTTTGTCCGAAAGGTAATCGATAAGTATCGACGGCACCTTTTTTTTGGGGGGTTCACATCCAGCCGAAGGATTAGTTGTTAAGTCCAGTAATCGCTCGACGCAGCAGCAGCAGCAGCACTACAAGTCGTTGGAAAATCTGATCCAGCAGCCCCAGGGCCGGACATCTGATTACAATCGAGTAGATGCCGATTCAGTAACCATCCAGCTACAAGTCCTGCCAACGATACTCGCTGCAATAATCAGGCCCCGTTTGTATCACTTGATGTCTCGATTGTGATTACTATGCGATAAGAGCCTTTCAACGAACATAAACATTCCATCTGCGAAATACTCTAATGTAATCATTATTGCAGCGTTGGAAGGTAGTACTGGATGCCTTTTGAATAATAATAGTTCGCGAAATTTTATTCTTCGTTTTTAGCGTTGGACTAAACGGTAGTACTAGGATTAATGCTCCATGCGCGGACCGCAAAACATTTTGAATGAATAAGGGCTAAGTGTGATCGCCACCAGCAGCACGGTTCTCGCTTTTAACCCTTCTCGTTGATTTCTGGCCGCTAAAGCTTAAGATCTGCACTCAGTTGCTACCGTCTTATATGGAGTTGTAGATTGTTTATTTGAGCTTTGTCTTTGGCCTTTGGGGGATTTGGACTATGGATTTTTAGAATCTACAAAGATACAAGTATAATAGTGAAGACATTTTAGGATCCCCGAGTCCATCATCACAAACTAGTGTATAGGATATTGAGCGGAAAATACTGTTCGCTTATACTAAAATTTGGCTTATCTTTGCTTATCTTTGAAATGTTGTGATGAAAATACTATTTATGCTGAAAAATATGAATAAGTCAAAAAAACGGGATATTATTTTATCACGGCTTGAAAAATTTTTTCACTAAATAATATTTTTCTCAAACAAACAAGATTCCTCCAAACCATTCAAATATTGAAATTGCTGTTTAACAGGTTTGAGCCTGTTTCAGGTTTGACCTTTTCAGAATTAGAGTGGTGCAGCGGGAGTGAATGATTTCAAGAGAAAACCGTTGCATCAACTGTCGGCAATTAGATGCAAGTTGTCAAACAAGACTAGCTTAGCTTTCCAGCGCAGCGTGGCAATTATATCTATAGATTGTGTATTAAAGTAATCTTCAAACTAGCAACACAATTATGCGTGCGCGCACATCTCAATCAAATATATCTAAGCTAGATGTCACATCCAAAATTATGAACTACTCCTACTACTACAGGAGTTGTATAAATCCATGGCTCCAACAAAGAGTTGGGCCTGTGGAAAACCAAAACTTCAAGTGTTCAACTGTACGTCTGTACCTGACAATATCATTTACATCTTTCGGTGTTAGGTTAGCAAAATAATAGGTTGGTTTTTTTGAAGAGGTTAAAATAGCTATTCCATCCGTTCCAAATATACTGTAAGTCGTTCCGACTTTTTTTTAGTATATAGATGCAATGTATATCTAGATGTGTAGCAAAAGCTACATATCTATAAAAAGTCAAAACGACTTACAATTTTAAAATAAAATTGAGCTTCATTACCATTGGTTTATAATTTTTGTTCCCCTATGTGCCATTGGCCGTTACTTAATTATAAACCAATGACAATGAAGAAGGACTACAATTTTCAATGGCACATTGAAGAAATTTTCAATGGCACATAATGAACACTACAAAACCGCAAATCAAGTTTTTAGAAAAACACAAAAACCATCATCTCTTCATCCATGCATTATCCGATCTCGCAAATACTCCTATAGGGTTGTTACCATCTAAGGGCCAGTTTGGATCCCTTCTCTAAACTTTAGAGCTCTAAAAGCTTTTGAGCACTGTAGGTCACTTTTGAGCTCTAAAGTTATAATATGAGGTGGACTAAAGTTTAGAGCTAACTTTAGACCACTTGTTTGGAGCTTTAGCTCTAAAGTTTAGAGCTCTAAAGTTTAGCGGAGGAAATCCAAAGAGGCCCTAAGTATATTCTGAGTCATTTCTCTACAAACTTGGGCCATAAATACTAAAAAGTTTATATATATTGATAACACAAGGTTGTAGTAATAAAACATATTTATAATAACTCGTTCTATATAGAATCATATATTTTGAAATATTTTAAATACTTACGGTAAAACCATGTATAGGTATCTCATATGTTTATCTAGTGGAGCATGCTTTGATCTGATAAAGCATGTTACTCTCACTACTCGTCAAGTCAAACAAATTCTAAGTTTGACCCTATCTATATAAAATATTACTAACATTGATGGTAGCAGTAAATATCATTGAATTAACTATGAAATATATTTTCACAGCAAATTCATTTGTTAAAGATATAAATATTAATAAATACTATTTCTTTTATAAATTTGGTCAAATAGAGTTTGACTCATTTCAAATCTAGAATTGTTTTTTTCATGGACTGTGGGAGTATTTTCTCAGAAATCTGACGGTGTCCATCGGTCAGACGTCAGCGTGAGAGTAATAAATAGTACGGCTAAACAAATCTTCCGGATCAAATCAACATCCTTAACAAAATCCAGGCACAAGAGCATAAAGGCCGTCCGGCCCGGCCCCACCCTCTCCTCTGCTAACCTCGCCCGCACCCCAACGCCCGCCCCTGTCACACTACCACTACCTCCGCCTCCCACGCAAGCTCCCCCGCGCTCCCACTCGTTCGTCGCACCGCACCGCACCGCACGCCGCGCCTCCCCACGTCGCACCTCCAAAGTCCCACCCACAAACACTCCGCCCCAAACCCTTCTCCCCGCGCGCTCCCACTCACTCCAGCATGGGCAATTGCTCCCCTTCCCCGCGCCGCCGCCGCCCGACGGAGCCGGGCTCGCCGCCGCTCGGCAGCACCGTGTCCGCGCCCACCGTGACGGTCAACTCCATCTCCGTCTCCCCCTACGCGCTCGCCAGATCCCCCTCCGTCTCCGCCGCGGCGGTGGACGCCGAGGACGCCGGCGTCGTGCGCGTCTACGGCTCCGACGGGTGCCCCGTCGCGTGGCGCCTCCGCGTCTCGCTCCTCTACAAAGCGGCGGCGCCCCTCCACTTCACGCCCTCCGAGGCGGCCCCGCTCGGCCGCCCCGTGCTCCGACTCTCCGCCGCCGACCCGGAGGTCTGCGGCACCGCCGACGAGCTGCTGCGCCTGGTGGACGCGCGGTTCGAGGGCAAGCTGCGCGTCGCGCCGCCGGAGAGGCCCCGCGCGGCGTCGCCGTCGGCCGCGGCCGCGGCGGAGGTCGCCGAGCTGGTGCGGCTGCAGCACCGCAGCGCGGAGCGGCACCTCGAGGGCGTGGCGGCGAAGGTGGTGGAGATGGTTAAGAAGGGGAAGAAGTCGGGCAAGGGGAGGACCGTTGTGGAGGGTGCCGAGGTCAGGAGGCTCGGCAAGTGGTACGGGGACGCAATGGAGGTGATGCTGGAGCACGCAAGGATGGAGGAGACCCTCATCTTCCCTGACATACAGAGGGCATCGTTTCCAGGTCGATTTGAGTTTGATCTATTTTATATGTGCCGCATTGCATTATGCTCTTAATTTCCCTTGATGTTCATAGAGGTTTAGGGCATTTGTCTCTCGTTGCTAATGTGCATTGGCGTTTCTGAGGATTTATTATGGGCCTGCTTTCCTTTCTGCACTGACCGTTTCCTGTCGCAAAAAAGCAGTGCATCTGCGTCTAGACAATTGGAGCCCTGCTTCAATTCGTAGTTCTCATTCTATTTTGGGTGCGTTGGTTAAGGAGTCGTTCACTTGCGCTGGCGAGTTTTCAGAAATTCTTTCTTTATGTGTTCCTGTACTTTGGTCCAAAGCATGTAGTATTCCCCTTATCCCCTACTACTCTGGCTGTACAGGTCACCCTTTATTCTGATTGGTAAAAGCAGCTAACATCTATTCTAACAAAATATTGCAATGTACTCCAGCATCTACATTGCTAGTACATTAAGAAAAAAATAATATACATCATGGAGTAATGTACTAGAGCAAAGCCAAACATTTGGCTGTTTCCAAGTGAAAAATAAACGGGCTTTGCGAGAATCGGGTTCACTGACTCCCGGACCTGAAGTGGGAACCAACCGTCACACTCACACCAAATGCCCATCTTGACGTCTTCGATCCAAGTTATTAATTGAACATTTATTTAAGCGCCAACTGCTTGCATACTGATATGATTAGGATCTAATCTAATCTGACACCAATATTTTGTGTGACAAGGGGTGTGCGATAAGGTTAACGAGCAGCATGGGAGGCACCTGCCAATGATGAATGGAATCAAGGAGGATATAAAAACACTGCTGACGTTGGAATTAGGGAGCCCCCTATTCCATGAAGTGGTAGTCAACCTCTCGGTTCGCCTCAAAGCGTTGCAGGTACAGTCCCTGTTGTATCCAATAAATGCATTGGTTGTCTTTATCTGCCAACTGTTCATTGCTTGAGAAACCTTTCTACTTCAGAATATACACTAGTTTAGTCTTTCTGGTGGTAGAAGCTTGTATTTAGTTATGAACACCATGCTTGAAAGAATAGGCAAAGCACCATCTTAGGTGTCTTCAGAAGACATTCGACTGCTTAGGAGATTTTGCAAACTTCACCTTTTGTAACTTCCAAGGGTTCTATACTACCTTCATGCAAAAGCGATAATTTGTTGGTGTGGATGTTACCCTGTCCTAATCTGTATTCCCTTTAGCAAATAACCTACCATGAGATATTCTCTTGGAAAGGAGTAACCGAAAGTGATATAGAACAGAGAATGATGAGGGGACCATTCACCATGTTACCTTACCAAAGGATAAAATTGATTCCTTTCGTCCTCAAGTGGAAAAGTTTGTTATATTGCACTATTTTATACTTGCACTTTTCATTGAATTGGATTGGAAGATCATGTAGGTCCTGGATAAGGACCACTTCCAACCTATTGTCTCTAAAACTTGCATGTCTTGTCAATTTGGATCTGGATTCACCACCATATGCTTAGCGCATAATGCTATCTTCACAGTTATACTGCATTGGTATTGTGCATGCTGCCATAATGGGAAAAGTTGCAAAGGAAAAAGTAAAGTAGGCTGCAGTCTGTTCGTTCTCAGCCTGTTTGATCTGTAAAACTGGTATTGTTTCAGCAAAAGATAGCACGGGAAATTGTTTTGAGATTGATAGGAATCCACCACCATGGCGTTAGCATACAACTCTCCTTTTTATAGGAAACTTGGAAGGTGTGTATTGTGTAATGGAAGTTGAGGGAAGAAAGTAGGGTGCAGCCTGGCCCAAGCAATTAAGAAATGATTGCTTTGCATGACAATAAAGGTTTCAACATTTTATGCTCATTACAGCTGGCCCTATTCCACATGTTCCTACCAAGCTTTTGAAAAGAATTTGACATAGGTCTGGAGGCTATTTGACAATGGTGCAATCATCATGGGCACTCCCATTCCATGGATGCTTCATCTCTGTGGACACTGGGCAGTCATTGTTGCAAACTGGAAATTTGGTGATTGCATTCAGTGTGTGGCTTATCTTGCTTTGAGCTGGTTACTGATAGCATGGGTTGACAAATTGTCAGGCAAAATTAGCCAGCAATTTGTCTCTGAACCAGCTAAGAAACTTTAGGCTCTTAGCGTCCTTTGAAGTTTGTTTTGATATTTTTTCTTAATATAATATTGTGGACTGATGCATACTTGCATGGATAATGAGAAACTTGTCTATAGAATATCCTATGAACTATTTAGAAACGAGCTCATTGCAGTATGATTAGTTACAGGTCTGACTTTTAGAAATCACAATTGATTATGGTACTTGGCTCATTACCAAAAGTTTGCTGATAATACCAAACATTCCTTATCTGGACTCATCCTATAATAAACTCAATGAACCATTACAACTCCTAGGCAGTGAGCTTGTAAATTCATATCTCTCTCTCTACGTGTTTGGTGTATTTCTGATATCTATCAAACATTGGCAGGACCATACCAAAGAGCACTTCAAGGAAGAAGAGAGTGACCTTCTCCCACGGCTAGAACAAGTACGACGGATGCAGCGGGAGGAGGGGAAGGTTTCTGACAAGTCTAGTTCCGCATGGGCTTCTGAAGCGGTAGCTACAATGGAGATGACACACTCGAAGCTCTTCCCCTTCTTCATGACTGGTCTCCTTCCTCAGGAGGCCATGCAATACTTGGACCTAGTGTGCCGATGCACGAAGAACACGCGCCATCTGGTCTCCATGCTCAGATCTCTTGCAGAACGCCTTGAAGACGCGAACCCGTCAATTATACACAACAACCCTACCAAACTGTATGAGCACCTACTTGTAAAGTCCCCATAAGCCTGAAACCCCTCCATGCAGCAATGCGGTATGTGTTAAATTGTGAATGCTAACTTTTTTTCTTTTCTGTAGTGCAGCTAATGTATTTCGGGTTATTTGAACGATTGTGAAAGCGTGGCGTGTATAGCTTATTGTGTTATCCCAGCGTGAGTAACTACACAGAAAAAATGATTGAAATGGGCATGGATTGTTTCTGAACTACAGTCTAAGATCATTTCTGGCTGTTCTGTGTTGAGTGCTATATTCACTTTGTGATGTTGCTATATTCACTTTGTGATGTACTCCTTTAGACCTGTTTCCGGCTTCACGTGCACAGATATGATCTGGTTTGCCATATGTATCCTGTACCCATATTGGAACGAAGGTAATCACTTCAAAGGTTCTAATGGCTAGAGGAGGGTAAATAGTTTATTGAAAATTTCTACAACAACACTTAGTAAATATGTTAGATAATTAAATGACGAAGTAAATGTTGCACTAGTCTATTAAAAAAGCAAACCATCTACCATAATTTTAGTATCTACGATCCCTAAACACACAATGGTTATGTCACTACACTAAGTTAGTATGCTGTCAAAGACCAACTAAAAAGCCACACTAACCACTAGACCCGACATAAACTTGCTCTCAAAACTAATTACACTAAAGAGTGAAGCAACACTAGAAATGTAAATGCAAGATATGGGATGTGATGATTATACCGTCGTGTAGAGGAATTGAGCCAATCAATCACAATGAATACCAAGAAATCCTCGGACAATATGACGCAAGATTTTTTATCGATGTTCACTTGCTTGCCGGCAAGTTAGTCCTCATTATGGCGATTCACCCACTTGGAGGTTCACGCGCTAATTGGCATCACACGGCAAACCCTCAATAGTGTGCCGCACAACCAACAAAAGATGGGGATCACACAAGCCACGAACAATCCATTAGAGTACCTTTTGGCTCTCCGCCGAGGAAAGGTTAAGAAGCCCTCACAATCATCACAATCAGAGCCGGAGACAAGCACCTTCCTCCGCTCGACGATCCTCGCTGCACCAAGCCGTTTAGGTGGCGACAACCATCAAGAGTAACAAGTGAATCCCGCAGCGAAACACGAACATCAAGTGCCTCTATATGTAATCACTCAAGCAATGCACTTGGATTCACTCCCAATCTCACAAAGATGATGAATCAATGATGGAGATGAGTGGGAGGACTTTGACTAAACTCACAAGGTTACTATGTCAATGCAAATGGCCAAGAGAGTGAGTTTGAGCCGGCCAAACACCTTTTATAGAGGCTCCATCGAAATAGAGTCGTTGGGCTCACACAGCAGCCCAACTCGCGCTAACCGGATGTGCCGATCAGAATGACCAGACGCACCCGGTCCAGCGTCCGGTCGCGGGATCTTCGCCATGTGTCCTGCCTTCAAATACGTGCCGCCCGATCTCCAACGGCTAACTCGCTCCCGCGCTCGCGTTAATGAAGGACCGGACACGTCGATCCATTGACCGACGCGCTAGCCCCTGCGTCAGATCAGTTCAACCCCGCGCGCAGTCAACAGACGGCCGGACGCGCTGATTAACTCGGCTTCCCAGCGTTAGGTCCATACTGACCGGACTCAGGCCAGCCTCCAATCCTGCCTTCGCCTCCGCACGCCAAGTTTTGCGCCAGGCATCAGCGTACGTCACCTGTGACCGGACGCCGGCCCTGCGCGTCTGATCACTTTCACTATGCAGCGTCCGGTCGCTGAACCGACCGAGCCCGAGTGCGCCAACACTTTTATAAATGACCGGACTCACCACCTCAGCGTCCAGTCACCTCGGGTTCAGCGTCCGATCACTGATTTTCAGTGAAAAACACCTCCTTCACTTCACCAACTTCTCCATCTTTACTCAAATGTTCCAACCACCAAGTATATCACCTTGTGCACTGTGTTAGCATATTTTCACAAATATTTTCAAGGGTGTTAGCACTCCACTAAATCTAAATGCATATGTAATGAGTTAGAGCATCTAGTGGCACTTTGATAACCCCATTTCGATACGAGTTTCACTCCTCTTAATAGTACGACTATCGATCCTAAATGTGATCACACTCACTAAGTGTCTCAATCACCAAACCAAAAAATTCCTATCAAAATTTCATTTTTGCCTTGAGCTTTTTGTTTTTCTTTCTTCTTTTCCAAGTCAAAGCACTTGATCATCACCATGGTCACACCATCATCATGATCTTCAATATTGCTCCACCACTTGAAATAGTACTACCTATCTTATGATCATTTTGATAAATTAGGTTAGCACTTAAAGTTTCATCAATTCATCAAAACCAAACTAGAGCTTTCATCACTACAGTCTCTCTGCAGTAATCTGCATAGTGCAGAGATTACTCATCCGTAACAGGGACCCATCGTGACTATTTGTCTATTTCATTGTTATATGCGACATTGTATCAAGTACGTAATTCAAAACTTAGTCAACGAAACTATGAAGACATAACAGTAATTCAAAACTGCTGAATCAACCAAACTATGAAAAACAATGCCCAGACGCTACTTCACGGTCACAGGTTCCTTGATATAATAAAACTAATTCAGAAACAAGGCTAATCATTTGACCAGTAACCTCAGCGCAGCATCATGGCCACCAAGCCAGCGGCGGACAAGAAGGCGGCGGCTCCCACGGAAAACACGGCTGGCGCGGCGGCGCTGCTATGCGCTATGTCGGGAACGACCAACGGGCCAGTCGACGACGCCGTGCTAGGCGGGGTGGCAACGGACGCCGGCGGGATCGTCTCTTCGTCGCTAGGTGATGACGGCGCCAAGGTTGCCGGCCCTTCCGATGGGCCCGGGCCCGGGGACCGAGCCGTAGAGGCCGGGGCATGCGCGGCGTGCGCCCTGGCCGTGGCATGGGCGGCGGCGTGGCGGACGAGCGCCCCGCAGGCGCCGGTGCCGGAGCCAGGTGGTCGCGCCTGGTGCCAGTCCACGTCCCGTCTGCTATCGACGCAGTAGGCGCCGCCGCAAGGACGGCGCCCACGAGAGCCATGAGAATACAGAGCCGTCGTCCTCGCGAAGCCATGGAAGCACGTACCCCGCACGGCGATCGCCTAAGAAATCGAAGCGTGATCCTAAGAAAGGGGTGATCGAGGAGAAGATGACGATCGAGAATTCGAGATATGGACGTTTGATCATAAGGGCATGGGGCATATATAGAGGCGTTCATGCATGGAATGCCAAGATTCTGTATTTCAAATGGTAGCAGTGAAAAATGACCGCGTTCTTGGTGCGCGTACATGGCAATGCCATTGGGTGAGTTGGCGAGGCGAGGGATTTCGGAGTTATGCTGGGCATGGCCAAAAAGATATCACCCTGGTTCAGGCGTACGAAGGTTCGTATTGCCCTCCACAGATGATTTTAGGCACCGTTTGTTATACAATATGGCGATCGATATCGTATTGTATCATTTCCTTCCATCAGAGGATTAGATACCGGGATATCGTTCATGTTTCTTTACCTTAGACTCGACATAAGCTTTTATGCTGGGATTTGCTATTTGGACATTTTACCAAAAAAAAAAGGTTGCTGATTTCGCATAATCGCAATGCGCCATAAAAAACAAATTAAATCCAATCCAATGAACCTCTGACAGCACTAGGTTCAAACGTGGAGTGTTCAAAGCAAAATCAGATGGCAGGAACATGTATCAACATATACTGATGTCATACAAGAAGTGTAATGCAGGTAACGCATCAGGAGTTTATATTTGGCATTTGTTTCAGACACAATGCATTCTTATGTAAGTCTCAACGGTAAGACCCCAAAGCTCCCAGCCTCCCACCGAACATTTTCATTGAGTCGAGAATTGGAAGAACAAGGCTAACACAAGGCATAAGTGATGCCTGTTCACTTATATTTCACTGTACTTACATTACAATTTACAACATGCAACAGAAAAGAATGTCTCACAAATGGAGCAGTAGTTCTACCGAAATGATCCATAAAGCTCCCGAAATCGTTAGGTGCAGTCTTCAAAATTTTCTTCAGCCGCAGCCGCATATTGCAAAATTTGCTTCACCATGTCGAAGATCTCCTGGACCTGCTTCCTGGAGTGCAGAGGAGAAGGGTACATGCAGGTCCAGTCCAGCTTGCCGTCCTTGATCGAGTCGAACACGCCGATCGACGGGCCAATGCCGTGCACGGTGGCGCAGCAGACGCAGTCCTCCACGCCGGCCTTGCTCTGCACCTCGGCCACGTCGGCGACCTCGGGCTCCTCGAACACGGAGACGAGCGCCGTCCGAAGCGCGCCGGCCGTCGTCAGCTGGGGAGCCTCGATGGCCCGGCACATGAGGAAGTTGAGGTCGCTGATGTCGGTGAGGTGTTTCTTGTTGTTCTTGGCGCTGGTGTACGAGTCGTGGCACCTCTTGGCCAGCTCCCACAGCCCTTCCTCGCCGTGGATCGTGTGCGTGTTGGTGACGGCAGAGTAGAAGAACCCTGCGACATTGATAACGGTGATCGTAATCTAGCATTTTGCAACAATAAATGCGCTTATCATCGGAGATTCGTACTCACCAACGTTGCGATCGTCCAAGGGCGGCTCAAGAAACTTGCGGCAATTAATAAGGGTCACGATGGAGTATGTCTCCTGCTGGCCGCTCTCCAGCTGCTTGGACTGCCGCGCGGCGAGCATCGTCGCGGCGGCCATGGCGGAGCAAAGCCTTACCCCATTCTCCTTGCACGCCTAGAGGACAATAAGCTATGAATCTATTTGTTGCCAATGCAAAATACTAGCACAGGAGTATGGAAGTCTGGAGGAACAGGCTAGGCTTGAAGCCGTGAACTTACGTCGAGCAGCCTCGTCGTCTCGTCGTGGCCGAGCCCGAGCCGCAGCATCTGCGTGGACCTCTCCGTGCCGGTCTCCACGTACGGCAGCGTGGACGTCCGCAGGCCGTTGATGGAGTAGCCGACCATATCCAACCCGCGCGCCCAGAACGGCTTCCAGGTGTCCCTCTGCGGGATCCTCTCCTCCAGCCCCGCTTCCGCCGCCGCATCCTCCGGGTCGGCGCGCTCCCCGCCCTCCTCACCGCCGGCCAGCAGCGCGACGAGTTCCCTGACCAGCGCATTCGCCGCCGAACGGTCGCACGCGACCGTGTGGATCCGGACGAACAGCGCCGCGCCGCCCGTGGCGGGCGGGAGCTCGTAGAGCGTCGCGAAGAGGACCGGGGCGTCGTCGGAGGACGCCGGGTCGGCCCACGGGTTCCGGTTGAGCTCGTGCTCGAGGAGGGCGTGGAAGTCGGGCGCAGAGTCCGGCGCCGGGAGCGGTGCCAGCGGGAGTGGCGGGGCCGGAGGCGGTGCCGGGTTGGGGAACGCCAGCGTCGGGCCGGAGGGAGAGGTCCGTAGGCGGCCGCGGAGGACGGGGTGCGCGTTCCGCAGGGAGCGCAGCGCTGCCTGCGCCGCTTCGGCCGCGTCGCTGCGGGAGAGGCGGAGCGCGAGCAGCGTGGTGCCGGTGCCGCCCGGCACGGCGCGGAGCCAGCTGTACTCTGTGCCGCCCGGCGCCCGGGTGCGCCACTCGGCCGCGTCGTCGAGCTCGGTGCCCGCGCTGCCGTTCGCGGGATCCATGGCGGAGGGGAACGCGGCTGCCGGTGCTGCTACCGGCGCTAGTATGCGTGTGAATTTGGATCGGAGATGGAGCGATGATGTGTTGGATTGGATTGGCGTTTGTGGTCTGATGTGGTGGGTGGTGGTGGCTCTTGTCGTCTTGCTCGTCCGCTCACCAGTCAGCACCTCGTTGCGTGGCCGCCTCTGTGATGGTGAACGACGAGACGTATAATAATGTCATGCTCGGCGTTAACGGATTGGAAATTGGCGCGAAATTCGCAGCTCCTCGTAGTCGTACCTCCACATATAGTGCCGTCCTGTGACGATCACAGTAACGAGAAAACACGGTCAACACACTATAGTGCGGCGATAACACGATCCCGAGCTGCTCTGTGATTGGCAGCGTGCTTGCTAATCGGACTTCGAGCAGCCTATGCATGGTTCGGCGACGACGAGGGAAGCCTGGCCTGCGTTTTCACCGAGATAAAAAAACTGCAGGAAATTTTGGTGCCCTGGCGCCATCTGAAATTCTGAAACTGACCTGCCAACTATGAGAAAATTGCACTTTTACCAGCCCAAACAACATGCTTCGCAAAATTAGCATCTCAAACATTGCTTTTGTAAAAATAGCAGCCAAAACATTTGCCACTTGTTTTCTTACCATTTTTTCACTTTTGACTGCTTTTTTTGGCTGCTAAATCGTAGAGAAAACAAGAGGCAAATGTTTTAGCTGCTATTTTTACAAAAGCAGATGGTATAAAAAGCAGATGGTAGTGTCGGTGTTTCGTACAAGCACCGACAAGTGAATTTATAGTAATGCGCGTTAGGCTCGGATGGTGCGCTAAAGGACACAGGATTTATACACGTTGTTTGGTTATTAGCACCGTAACGCTAGTAAGGGATAAAATACAACTGGTCCCAAGTCTTCGAAGGATTGAAAGGTGGTCACCTTCGTCATTTGCTTGAATGTGTGTATCGCGTTCTATTGTTTTGCTACCCTCTTGATGGAAGAAGCGCATCCCCTTTTATAGATGAAGGGGCCGGCTTTACAAGGGTAAGGGGCTCGGGGACGCGTACTCTATTTAGTCTTGTGGCTAAAGTGTTTAATGTTGTCGATGTCTGCGGGATCGGGTTAGTCATCATTAGAACTTAGAATCTGATGGTTTTGACTTATGAGCCTCCCCGGCCTTTGCTCGCACGCCTATACGGTTCTCATGAGTCCCTCGGGGTCCGTGTAAAAGCCTATTTGGGAGGATCCATCCCTCGGGTCCACCGTGTGGTGACGGAATACCCATCGTTCGTGGAGATAGCAAATCCTTTCCGGAGCGTAGCGGTTGTCGAATATCTTCGTCGGGTTCCGTGTATGCCAAGGCGGCGTTGGTGAGGTGTCTTGTAATACCTTTGGGCTCTGCGTTGCCGGAGGGTCTAAAGCTTCGATCTTCGTTCTGGCAGTCCTTTTTCTGCCAGGCGCGAGAGGTATGGTCGTTGGAGCCATGGTTGACCCGAACGTCTTGTCTCGTCTGTACCCATTATTATGAGGATAGATATCGATCGAGGCGAGGCTCGTTCGGGCCGTCGGTGAGGTGACCCCGCCCTCCCGGGTCGGGCGAGGCAGAATCCATCCCTCGGCCCTCGGGCGAGACCGAGCCCGCCCTCAAGGCGTCAGGCGAGGCGGAGTTTATCCTCGGCCTCGGGCGAGACCGAGCCCGCCCTATAGGCGTCAACGAGGCGGAGATTAGCCTTGAGCTTTTGGGGGCGGCGGGGTTATCCTACAAAGGTGTCGGGTAAGGTGACCCCGCCCCTCTCGAGGTCAGGCGAGACAGAATTTCATCCTCGGCCCTCGGGCGAGACCGAGAGCCCTCAAGGCCTCAAGGCGTCGAGCGGCGGAACCGAACTCGTGTTACTCGAACAAGGGATGACATGGAGCTCTTATGCATCTAGAAGTTTTTCACGTTCGGTGGTCATCGGTTCCACCTTCTGGGGTACCCTGGTATTAGATCCCCGACAGGTAGCTTTGCGAAACACGTTGTTTGGTCCGCTAAAAATACAATTTTCTCACCAACTATCAGGCTACCTATGTAAAATTTAAAAAAAAACCACGTGTCTATCATTAGAACTTAGAATCGAGTGAAATGATCCTTGTAAAAGTTTAAGGATCCATAATGCACATCGCTCAATCATTATTATGCCAAGTTGGTGGTCAATATCTGGACAGAGACAGAACATTTTCTCCTTAAGGCCTTGTTTGGATGCGCATGTATACGTCTTAATCCACATGTGTTGAAGTGGATTGGAGTGGAATTAAACTAAGTTTCTTCCATTTCACTCCAACATATGTGGATTGAAGTGAATACACATGCATCCAAACAAGGTCTAATTAAGGGAGAACCTGAGTATTAGAAAGCTACTTCAGTTGGTTATGTCTTTTTTGGTAGAATCCGTCCATATGAGTTTAAATTCTTGACTTCACAACGATGCTTGTATTTTCTTAAATTCGTTAGGATTTAACGACGTTATTGTTTTAGTAGTAGATGGCGTGTCTGTTGATAACTTCGTCAATATCAAAATCATCCGGGTTGATATCTAGGATGAGAATGTGCGTGCATGCATTCCTAGAGATAACCAAGTGAGTGTGCTTGCATGTATATGAGTGTTTGCGTTTGTATGGAGATGCAAAGAGCTCTCTTGTCAGGAAACAGGATGAGTGAAGAAATGGTAAGCGCAACGTGTTGCTAGAAAAGAAAGAAGGAAAAATGCATAGAACTCTGTTGTCAGGAAATAAAATGAAGGGAAGAAATCCTATCTGACGTTGTGAGCTTCCAGGACCCTCAGGTAAAGTGGTTTTGATGGCTAATGGCAAATTTGCTTTTGTGACTAACGCGTGTGTATTGGAGAACATGTTTCATGTTAGGTCACAAAACATGAAGATGAAAGTGTACTCAAATGATGATGAAAAACAAAATCGAGGACAACTTGACATGTGTAGCTAACGAGTGTTTTGAAGAAACAAAGTGTCAACGTTAGACCACAATACATGAAGATTATGGTATCCCCAAATGTTAATGAGGAGGCAATAAAGAACTCAAGATTGAAGATGAAGATTGCTCAAGAGCCAAGCAAAGCAATCCAGGACTCAAGAACAAAGGTCTCGGAAGAGTCAAGTTACGCTATAAAGATTTAAAATTGAAGATTTTTTTATAGAGTTGAGTGACGCAAGAAGGTGATTTTAGAACATGGAGCTCGACCAAGTGTTTAGTGTGCATGGTGGTGAAATCTTGATGAACAAATGATCTAGAGAGCTTGGGCATGCAGTAAGGAATCCAATGAAACAAGTTTCACCTCAATCAGAGCTGATTTGGAGAATTTGGAAGTGAAACCAGAAAAATGCACAGAAGGGACAGTCCGACGCTAAGAAAAATTCTATTTTAGCTGAGTTGTAGGATCGATTTTGGAGTGTTTTGAGGCCTTTGGAACTCGTTCATATCACGGTTTGATGCCCAGTTGAAAGCCTTAAGTTTGGTTTTGATAATTCAATGACAAATAGTGTACTAATGCTTTCAATTAAGTTGTGATTGAGCTAGAATCCACATCAAGATGGTGTGCAAGGTTAGAAGATGGTTGAGAGGTGATCAAGCCATATGGAGCGATCTCACACTAGAGCCTTCAATTCCCGTGTGCATATATCAGATATTCAGATCACACAAAAAGCATGCATGAACCAAATATGGCAACAAAAAAATCCATAATGGAAGCCCAGTACCAGAGGCCGGAGATATATATGCTGTTCTCACCGTACATTAGGTTAGATAAAAGACAGATAACACAATCATCAAGACGCATGCAAACTTTGGGATTGAAAAAGAGAATGTGCAAGGAAAACGATAATATTAAGCACCGATCTCTTTTTTTTATAACATCCAATAAATCTGCAGAAAGAGAACGGGATTATGTATACTTTTCTCTGTATTATTAACAGAAGGGTGCAACATGTCCTCAGAAAAGAAGCAAAGAATTCTGGTTGGGCAACAATATGAGAGAAGAAACGTTATCGGTTGTCAAACTCAATATGTCACACTAAATGAAGGTTCCAATTGAAGGTACCACTCAATTTTGAACAGCTGATAGAAAGTTAGGGACCATGATCTCAAGTAGTCCTTTGGGATTGTCCACATGAACCCAGTGGCCAGAGTTGGGGAGAACGTGAAGTGACACTTTTCCTACATCAGGTTTGGACTCTCTCTTGGCTAATGCTTTTAGCCTTTGAACATCATCAGGGACCCATCGATCACTGCTCTCTGCTTGCACTATTGCAATCTCCAAGTCCTTAGGTGGGTGTTCCAGCAGTGCCCAATAGTCCCTTTCCCTGAAAATTAACAATATTTGAACCAGCAACATAAATTAACAGCAAAGCATAGGCCTGCCTGATGTTATGATTCATGTCAAAAAGTAATTCTTGATACTCATGAATAAAAAAAAAGGGCAGACCCAGTGCCGGAGGCTCCCACATGAGTGGGGTCTGGGGAAGGGAAAAACCGAGGCTAAGCCTTCCCCCGCAAAATCTGCGGAGAGGCTGCTTCGAACCCGCGACCTGGTGACTCAGTGAGACAGCTCTCACCACTGCACCAGGCCTGCCCTTCTAGAACTCATGAATAATGTCGCAAAAAAAAAGATACTCATGAATAATACACAGTTACACGAGAACTTCACTAAACTTTACCTATAAGAACTAAACATGTCTATGGCAGCCTGAAGATCAAAAGCCCAGGTCACATGATCATTGTCCTTCTTCAAGTTACTGCCAATCCATTCTGAAAGAGACTTTGAAAATCCAAGGCTGAGCATGTGGTCGACAACCCACCTGGTGGCATGCAACAACTGAAATCAGCATTAAGGATATGAACACATGTAAACCATTTAACATGTGCAGTTCCAGAATCCAGACACTGCTCATGCTAAACATTCAGAAAGGTCCAAAATATTTCCTATTCTTGAACATTAATAGTTGCTTGCCAGATTGAATCTACAATGAAAAGAAAATCAATGACCTTCAGGCTTCAGGCATCAGGCATCACAAGACCATATTTCAAGTTTTCAGTGGACTACGACTCTTCTGGACTGTAATTCAGAAGCAATTTGATGAAGGACCATATCCTAGAATCTAAAAATACACGATCATCACTCATTAACATTAAGAAACAAAATTGTCCAAGACACACATACCTTATTTCTAAACCTGCTATGTTATCGAAACTGTTGTTAAAAATGTTCTACCCAAATTTTGCAACCACCCATACCTTGTTTATAAACAGTTATGTGATTATAGCCTATGGTTGACAAGAGTTTAGTTATGGAATCACAACCCCACTTTCACAATTTATTCTTCATTCGTACCATTATTATCTATATGTTGGTGCTGTTAGTCTGACAGAGTGTTAGTCTACATACCCATGTAGCTATATATAAATACAAAGGTAGCAAAATGACTAAACCTCAGCAAGGGAAGGGGCGAGATAGTACTTGCGTGATGGAAGTGAAGAAGGAAGACTTGCTAGTGTTTGCAAAACCCATTCAACTTCACCATCACTGTTATCCGTTTCTACTTGTCCAGGGACTGAATCAAGGACCCAGAGCTGTTCTGCATCGAAGGAAAATATAACATAGTGATACATATCATGTCCTCTTATCCAGTAACATGCACTGTATGCATGAACAACAACCACAATCCCACAGATGAAATTTATTCAAAGAAATGAACCTATAACACTGTGATACTAAAACAAAGGATGAGAAGTAATGAACTGCAAGAATAGGACAGTTGTACATTCATGGCAGAAGCAGCAAAGAAATTGTCCAAAACCATACTGTAATTTAGACTCTAATTCCAAGAATAAAAAGAATGCTAAGTGTTAACCTATAGAAGCATGAAATTCCAGTTTTCCACAGACAATAAGTTATCACATCATTTTGAGTTAGATAAAGCAAAACAATCTTTTGAATCTTTCTTAGAATAAACCATGCCAAAACTAATCATGGCTCCTCCCACCTGTTTAGGAAGATCAGCAGAATCTCCATACACACCACGAGAGCAGCTCTCCGCAAAATCTAGTGCCACCTTTCCACCCATGGAGTGACCCAGAACAACGTCCGGCCATGGCCAACCACGGGCCTTCACCAAATCGGCGAGGTCCTTAGCGGCAGTAGATATGCTGTGGGGTGGACCGAACCCCTTGATCCCAGCCGACCTGCCATGGTTCCTCAAATCCACGAGAACCATCCTCCACTCTGCACAGCAGTACACAGACGAAGCCTCAACAATTCAGCTCTATAAACAACTTCACAATGGAAAATGGGGAAATCAGTGTGCTTCATTATTGCACTACTGAAGGGGATACCGTCTGAAGGGGAGCGGTTATGGAGTTCGGAGACGAGGGCGCGAGAGAAGGAGCGCCAGTTGCGGCCGGAACCGAGGAGGCCGTGCAGGACGAAGGCGGTGGCGGTAGGCGGCTTCTCGGGCGACAGCTGGATCTCGTCGAAGGCGAGGGTTTCGGTCTGGTGGGAGGCGTCCGAGTGGACAGGCGAGGAGAGGAGGAGACGCCACGGAGAACAGCCGGAGGAGGACGAGAGGAAGCGCGAGCGGAGGGAGGACGAGGCCCGCAGAGACGCCGCCATGGCCGATCGCGTCGCGGGAGCCTTGTCCGAGGCCGCGGCGCCGTTGTGAAGCAGCAGCGATGGTTACCAAAGGGCTTGTCTCGAAAAACCAGTTGGGGCCGAAAGGAAGAGGCAAAATACGTGGTGGAATTTTGGAAACCACTTGCTAGACGGAAAAAACATTTTTTAAACTTAACATATTTATAGTTGTTGTATATAAATATAATCACATACAAGTTTGAAATAAAAACTCAAGCTTAAAAATAGCCATAAAAATGACAAATATGGGGTTCATGTGTAGTATGAATTTTTTAAATGTGGGTTTGAATTTCAAATTTATCATTTGAGAATATATTTGTATACAATATGGATGTACCAAGTTTTAAAAATTTTCAACGATCCAAATATGTTTTATGAATTGATTTTTTATGTTTCTATCTATTAGGTGGTTTTTACCACATATTTTGTCAAAAGAAAGAAAAAGGAGAGAAGAAACTTAATTCGTGTGAAGAAAAATGTAGAGAAAACTGACATCTATAGTTAACAAAGGGCTTGGCTCGCTTAACCAGTTCAGGCCAAAAGGAAAGAAAAGGAAGGAGGAAAAAAACTCAATTCGTTCCAAAGAAAAGACCAGTTCTGGCCAAAACAAAGTAAAAGGAGGAAAATACTCAATTCATGCCAAACAAAGATGAAAGGAATAGGAGGAAATCTCAATTCAAAAGTGACAGATGAAAAAAAAACGGAAAAAAAACTCAATTCGTGCCAAAAAAAAATATAGACAAAATATGACAGCTGTGGGATTTGAACCCACGCCCTTTCGATATTGTTTGGCGCTCTTAATTTTATTTATTCACTAAATCTAGCGACTTAGACCATTCGGCCAAACTGTCATTCGATATTGTTTGGCGCTCTTAATTTTATTTATTCACTAATAAATACTCTCTAATTACCTCCAGTCCTCAATCAACCGCCAGGTCGAGCGAACCACACAACCCGTGAGACGTGAGGCCCATCAGCTTATCCATTCTTGCCCTCACGAACGAATACACAGCGCTCACCCGAAGAGGCGTGTATGCGCAGCTGCAGCTGCAGCTTTGCAAGGCGGCAGATGTTGCTGACTCGCTAGCTCTTCTTGCTCGTCAACAGCGCAGCAGAGGCATGCGTGCGCCGGCAAGTTCACCGCTGCTTGCTGGAAGAAGCGTGAGAAGCTCCCCGGCTTGAGGGCGAGACTGTCCGTCAAGCCGCCGCGCGCTGCTTCAGGGAAGGGTGGCATTGTCCCAGCCAGCGACGATGACGACGGGGTCAGCCTCGGCACCGTGAAGCTGCCGGGCAACATCGACATCGCTCGGTTCGAGTCCTTGCTCTTCCAGGTTAGCCTTGTTCATGTCGTGTGCCTGAAAGAGTACGAGCTCCGTGCAATCTTTTTCGGTGCCTTCTAGAGAGACTGATGCTGTTTGACGCTGGCAGTGGGGGAACAGCCTCTGCCAAGGCGCCAACCTGCCACTTCCGGTGCCTCTCAAGGTAGAAAAAAAAATAGCGAGCTACTGATATGACTTGTTGATCCGGATCTCTTCACCGGAAGGAAAAATTCGTGTGCAGCCAGGCGGACAAGGTTGAGGGCGGCATCAGGCTAGGGTTCATCGCGGTCGAGGACGGCTCGACGCAGACGCTGGTCTACATCGACTGCCTGGTTTCTCCGGCGCCGGACGGCTCCGGGCTGGTATTCCAAGCGATCAGGAACGGTCCTATGAAGGACAAGCAGCCACCTGGGGAGCCCAGGATCATGAGAAGCCTCCTTGAGGCTCTCCAAAAGTGTATTCAGATTGCTCAAGTTTGACCGTGTAAATGGCACACGATTAAGGGCTGCATCTCTGTAACTACTAAGAGCCCTCTGAATCCTGCTATTCTAGTTCTCTCATGAGCACTTCAGGAATAAAACAAATCAAGCTAAGAAAGCTACAGGAAATTGCACCATGGTACAGCATTTCTTCATTATTGATTATATCATTATTACGTGATTCCAGTAGTTATGTCAATTGATCTAAGAAAGAAGACGGTTACAAGCTCAAACAGCAAGAAATGATGTCAACTGAATCTAACAGCTGGAGCATTTCCAAACAGCAGTTCAAGTATACAGGATCAGTGTCAAAACAGGCTGGGAAAAAACAGCCTAAAACTCACCAGCTGCCAACCCCTATCCCAATTCCCAAACATCATGAGGAAACACAAATCACATTTATGATGTGGAACAAGCTTCAAGCTTTGGGAGGACGCTGCGCCATGCATCGGCAATGTCTTTAGCTAGCTTAGCCTGACCTTTGGCAAATTCATGGAATGCGAGTCCAATATCAGCTGTCTTTTGCTCCTGGAAACGAGCGAGCTCTTCATTCATTAGTCTAACTATGTGCTCAAACTTCTTAGTAGCCTCCTCACTGTCTGCTTTCAACTGTAAGAACAACAAGACATCAGTTAGCAAAAACTTCTGTAAACCTCATCGACAAGACTACATCAAGAATTCCTCAATGAGAAGTTACAGCAACTTGCCTCTCTAAACTCAGACTCTGCTTCAGCATACTTCTCAGGGTTCATGAACTTCAATTTTTCACTGCAGTGAGAACAGCATTAGAAAGTTCTTAAGTTGCAGTATGTAACAACCATGAGATCAGCACTACTAATAAATTAGAGAGTCCTAGTTGGTTGAGGACCCTGAATTTGGTATTGTAAACACACAGGGATTCCTATTTTCCTGATTACTTAACATTATTCTTGACTGGGCAGGAAAAAAGAAAATGGACTTTGCAAAACATACAGATTAAGCTCTTTATACTTCCTCTCCTGATCCAAATCAAAGTGCTGCCTGAAAGCATTGGCTCGATCCAGCATAGTGGCCTGTAATGAAACCCAATTTAGTTAAAATTTCTGACATCACAACAAATAATGCGATACCATAGAGATGGCGAGAGAGGGAAATGCTCACTTTTATAGATTGTATAGCACGCACATAATCTTTCAAGGGTTCTTCAAAGTTAAAGAGAAGGTTGTCTGCCTACAGTAGAAGTGTGCCAACATGATCAGGTCACAGAAACATCGATATAAACTGTTCCATAAGATATCCAGTACCAAGCAGTACTATGTAAGAGTATATCATGATTACCTCTCTTTGCAGCTTTATTGACAACATCTCTGACTTCGAACCAACTTCAGAAAACACCTTTTCCATCAAATCTCCTTCACAAGCGCCCAAGAGCTTAATCGCCTTTCCGAAGTCCGCCAAAGATTGCCCAAGTTCTAATGAATCAAAATTAGGACTGTGTAACTCATCTTGCTATCCAGTTAAACAACCAGGAAAAAAAAAATTGAGGGTCTTATTGATTGTCTTTGAGTTTGAGTTCCTCATGATGTTTAAGCCAGATCATTTATCTCTTTATTTTTGGAAAACCAAATTTAGAACAAACATTATTTGTTTGCTGAAATTAGTCAAAACAATCTCACCATGAAAAAGAAATTGTAAAGTTGCAAGGTATGTTAAACATGAAGAAACTCAAAGAAGTAATGAAGGGCCTTTTCAAAGGACCAACTGAATACCTCTGTGTCTTTTCACAAGACGGTATGCTTGTTTTTGGGCCTCTGTTAAATGATTTTCTAGCTCAAATATGTAATTTTTAAGCTTCTCATATTCAGGAGTAGATTCCTCCACAGGCTTTTCTTTTCCCAGAACAACATCACTGACTTTTGACTGTACATCCTAAAAAAATGATGTCACGATTGTTAACATGCAAATGCGATATCAATAGTGACAGGGACAGAGGGGAGCTATACAGCATAATGTTGGTTATAATCCTGTAAGAACTAAGAACAGTGTTCAGAAAGGAGCAAGGATGTCTCACTGGAGATACGAGAGACGGTACCTTAAATATCTGTAAGAAATCTGCTGGTTTCTTAAAAATACCAGTCTCATAAGATCTTGCCCTATCCATTATCTGCTTCAAAAGCATAGGGAAAAGAAACATGAGCAGAAGGAATGCCATCAAAACCAAGTAAACATCAATGAACTATTTAGTCAAAAGAATGAGATGTGCAAGGCATGGAGTCATGGATATAGAAAGTTATAAGACAACCATCACCCAAGGCTGTGAGGTACTAGAAGGTTGCAAATGACTATTGCAAAGCCAGCAGTTGAATTCATATAACATACTCAAACTATCAAACCTTCACAGCGGAAATATCTGACTTATTTATTTATGTTGTGATGGAAATTTCAGCAAGAAATCAGGTCAAATGATCACTAGACATAAGAGTTATGTGGCTATTGGCAGCTATCCTAAGGACACCTATGCATATCATGCCAAGAGAATTTAATCGAAAGAAAATGCCAAAAGACTTCAATTCACATTTCTCAAAATAAATCAATACTCAGATTTCAAGGACCATGAGTTTATGAAAACAAACTAATAAACTAATTAAATACCAATACCAATTTCGTGATGAACCTATCCAACAAAGTTTTGAGTCAATTCTCAATAAGAATCCAAATAAACGCACAAGAAAAGGTGCAGCAGTCTGCTGATCAGCATTGAAACATTTTACCTCTTCATCTGCCTGCAAAAATGTCCTCAAAACGTCACTTTGCTTGAGTTCAGGGTGTGAAGCTATCCTGTTAACGAATAAATCCAGAGCTTGACGACGCAATTCAATGAACTCCTTGCTAAACCGGAATTTCTCTGAAGGAAATGAATAGAAATAGATCAGCAAGCAAAACAGATGCATTATCGCTACAACAGCAATCCAGAGATTCCCTGTCCTCAAGAGATTAAATGAAAAAAAGTTGATACAAAAATCATAGTTTAGGATCTTACCAACAGCATTCTTCTCCGGAAGGGGAGGTATAAAAACGCCTTTGTACCTCTCAGCAAGCCGATCATGCAACCATTCAAAATCACTATAGCGTCGAATAACAATTTTCTCTGGTCCCTCAAATTCAGGGAGGTTAGTCTGCAGAAACAAATGTTACTAGATTGGCAAATCAACTAGTGTTGAAGGTGAACAAGGCACATATGTTGGTACAAGAAAAGTGCACAGTCACTGGCTATTAGACATAAGATTATCATGCCATTCCCATTGTTAAGTTGCTTAGATAGCATCTTTCATCTAATTGATACTGTTTTGGTCTCTTATTGAAACTTAAATATATATTTTTCACAAACTCCAACACACAACCACCTGTCAAGTCATAACACCACCTTCCTTCATAGCTCTAGTGCCACATAGTTTGTTCTTCATTGCTCCTCGACTTCAATGTTTCAGAAACACAATTTGATTTCCCACTGTTTTCTTTCCCCAGCAAGTACTTTGCTGATAGCTCTACTGATTAATGCTCTACTCAAACCTAGAACGACACATGAGTTTTGCAAACCAGTGAGCTCCAATTACTACTGGACTACATCCGATATTAGTTCCAGATCTGTATTAGGAGGTCATAATCCAAAATTAGAGTTCCACTGATCCAGCTTTTATATCTCCACACACACTGTGCAAAAACTAAAATTAGGCAAGCCCGCACGGGAACAAGCAAAGCATATGCTCGATGAGCACCATGTTACAAAAATCAATCACTAAACCAGGAGCAACTCACGAGTGGTTTGGTAGCCGAGACCAAACAAGATTTTTACCCTGGTGATGACGCGGTAGGAGATGTAGGCCTGCACGCCGGTGCCCATCCTGACGGGATCCGTGACGGATATCGACAGGAACGGCGCCCCCGCCGGCGACCGCGGGCTCTGTGACGAGCTCCTCTCCTGCGAGAGCCCCATAGACAGATTCAGCGCCAATTTCCAGCCGACCAAACCAATGGTCAGAAGCGAGGCAGAAGAGATGAGGCGGAGGAGCGGGTATAGTGGTTACCGGCGAGATCATGGCGAGCTTCGCGGCGAAGCCTCCTCTTCTCCCTGCTGCGGCACGGCGAAGCGACGGGAAGAAGAGGACGACTTCACAAGAGAAGGGAAAGGATTTTTTTCCTCGATTGTATTTTCCGTGGGTATTTTTGTTGTAGATGGTTTGTTAGTTACGGGATTACGCGGGCTTGATGAGTCCCCGCTCGGCCCGAGCCCGAGCTGGACTGGGCCCAAGAGTGGTCGGTCCAGAATCGGATCCGTCGAAACGGTGCACGAATCTCAACACCCTGGCAAGATCTCTTGCCTCGCCTCTCATTTTCTCCGCATGTTTGGATGAAGCCCTGGGCTAAAATGCCTGGCCTGCAACCTTGCCTGTAGCCTGCCTGGAATGTATTTGGTTGGAACCCTGAGATATTTGCCTGGGAAGCACTTGCCTGTGTCACTTGCCACCAGGCGATAGAAATCGGTCGCCTGGCTTCTCAGTCAATCTGCCTGGACATATAATAAATGTACTAATCTCTTTCCTCTGCTCAAGGCTCAAGAAAGATGTGACGGACTCAATATTTATTTAAACACAGGAACTTGCTGAACCAAACGCTGCCTGCTCTTCCATTCACACAGGCAAGATATCAGGGCTTCAACCAAACAAAGCTATGAAATCAGAGTATGCCTGACCAGGCAATTTTGCCAACCGTAACAGGCAGGTCACAGGCAACTCAAATGCCCAGGCAACTTGCCCAGGCTACAAACCAAACATACCCCAAATGGCTGGCTCCGCCACAGACTCGTGGACCCCAATTCTGCATCGGCACGCCTCCCGTTAAATTCTCGCTGATCACCTGCGTACTCGTCGCCGTCTCGCCACTTCTCACCAGTGACGTGACATCTCCCCCACTGGCACACGCGACGGCACACGCTCCGCAGCTCAACCATGGATCGCGCGCGCCACAGGAGCTCCCTCAGCTCCGAGCGCTTCCTCGGCTCCTTCGTCCGCTCCGCAGCCTCCGGCGAAGAGTCTGCCTCTACGGCCTTCGAGCTTGACGAGGACGACCTCTTCTCCGCAGGATCTGGCTCGCCCGAGCCGCCGCAGCCGGTGCGCCGCCCATTCATCCTGTCTTCCGTCCGCCCTGCAAACCCTAGCCCTCTTCCACGCCTACGCCGCCCGCCGGAGGGCATCCTGGACGCCCTCCCCGAGCGCCGCCGGTCGCCGCCTCAATCATCTTCGTCGACGTCCTCGTCCCCCGCTTCCCCGGCTGCGGCCCCTCCCCGCATGATCCCCGCCGTTCCCCGCCCGGCGCCGGCGCCGTATATGCCGCAATCATTGCCGGTCAACGTCCCTGTGGCGCAGCTGCGGAAGCCGCCCGTGGTGATGGTGATGGGGGAAGCGGAGGATGAAGACGACGAGATGCTACCGCCACACGAGATGGTAGCGCGCGCGCGGGCTCGGGAGTCGCCGATGACGACGTTCTCAGTGCTGGAGGGAGCCGGGCGCACGCTGAAGGGCGGGATCTCCGCCAGGTACGCAATGCTGTCTGGCGGAAGACTGGATTCCTCGACTGACCCGTGCCGTTTGCACTGGCCAGTAGCCCTCAGGTAGATTGAAGTGATTGAAAATTTATGTCTGGACATCTGGTTGACATGTACACTATTGATGATTGGGTGTTAATTTTAGTGGCGCCTGTAATACATGTCTGCTCTAGTACTTGTAAACTCTTCATTTGGTGTGGTATGAGAACTAAGATGAACTATGTCACAGGAGTGATTCTGTGTGTGTTAGGAGTAATTTACTGCAATAAAGAATAAGGTGTTCATTTTTTAGTTCTACATTTACTAGAGGTGTCAGTTTGTGTACATTGGCGTGATAGAGGAGTGGAGCAGATTGGTTCAATTTATGGATACTTGTCTTATGTTGGTTTTCTTAACTTATTATAACCCCTCTAAATCCTGATTCTTCCGTGAATTCTAGTGAAGCTTTAACCATAGGATGTGGAGATCAATTTGTAGATGAATAGCTTGTTCCTGTGTGACATAACGGTGGGATTATCTGGATAGTATCCTATTAGTCATTTTTAATTTAGCCATTTCAACTTTTCAGGATAGATATTACTACTTTGTACACATATCCATGCTTGGTAGCTTTATTTTCTTAAATGCGATCTTTCCAATCCAATGAATAAAAATGAACCAAAAGGAAGGTATCCATCAATTAATATAATTTAGGCCTTTGTATCTGTATTGAACAATAAATTCAAAAGTCAAGAAGTTTGTTCTCGCGGTGCAACAGTAGCGGGATGAAAGTGATGAACTTCAGGGGAAATGAAACCCTGTAATGAGCCGCAGATTCAAAGCGGAGGTACTCTTCTTTAGGACGAAATCAGAGGGATATCTCTCCCTCAGTTCGTCCGTGGCTTGTGTGCTCGCCTACTTGGCTACACTGCTTGACCTTGACACTTCTTTAGTCACCGATAAACCCAGTTTTCCCTTCCCTTTAAATTTTGAGGAAAGAACAAGCTAAATGGAACTCTGTGTGAGATTCTAGGTTGGAATATGATTAAATCAGTGTCAAGTTTTGCTTTGCATCTTAGACTCTTAGTCGTTAAGTATTTGCCGAATCAAATCAGGTATTCAACCAAACTGTTGCAGAGTAGGAGTACAGGGGAATATCTCTTATTGCACATTTGAGATCTATTTCTGAGATTCTGAATATGTTTTGAAAAAAAATCATTGGGTAGGTGCTGAAATGGTCATTGAAAAAGAGAAACTACACCTTACCAAACTCCATGATTTATCACTAGATTGAACAAAAAGAAATAGTAGCGATGCTTGTTACCACTTCCCAGCTATGCTGGAGGAACCAGGAACGGGTGAAGTATATGTTCATAGAAAAGGGTTGAATTATATGTGAGGGTTACATGTTTCAGGTGTTATATCCTTCTGTCTTAGCTCTTCTCTATGCAATAATGCAAATCATGGATTGATTCTCCCCATGGTTTCAAAAGTGACTAGGCGTAACTAGACCCCCAAGGCGAGCTGGTCTGCCTGGACACCTAGGCGACGCCTTTGAAACAGAGATTCTCCCGCTTAACAAGATCTCTGTATGTTTCAACCTGCCTCGCCTGCTTTGGTTTTTTAGATAGAAAACCTACCCTTGCTAAAGCCCAAAAGACTTGATACTGTAGTCAGGTCAGGTCCAGCCCGTTACACCAATGATGTATTTGAACATTCTATACTAAGAGGTTTAGTTCTTATTCAATAGCAAATCAATGCAAGAAAAACGGCAAGTTTGTGGTGCTCATTTCAGCACTATGATTTTAGTGAAAAGTTGAGTGTTCTTCATCTTCTCAATAGACTGTATTTGTGGCGTTAATGCAGATGTCTGTTGTGAAAGAGAAAAGAGGATGAAAGTTTTGTGAAAGACACTGAATTAAGCGCTGGGCCCTGCAATTCATAAAAGGATGAATTTTTTGTGCAAGAGCTGCAATACTTGATTTCACAGTCTAGATAGAACTAACTGCAGGTATGCAGTATCATGCTTCCATGGATAGTAGTAGTGACACTTAGATATCTGTGATGGTGGGCAGACAAACATGTCTCCTTCCATGTTTCATGTGTGTCTAAACTACATTATCCAAGTTTCTGAAAAACATATTGTGAACAGCACAGAGTTGGTCAGCCATCCAATTCCTGCTCTTGTTTTTGTAAGTCTCTTTGTTGCACCATATCTGTGCTGTCCGTAGGCTGCAGTGCAGCCATGATAGAGCTGGAACAGCTGACTGGATGCCACCCAAACCCTGCTCCTTGCAAAAAAGGACTGGCAGCACTGAATTTCAGCATATGTAAGATTTCCAGGCTGGTTACAGTCGATGAACAGAATGATTTGGATACAAACAAGGGCAGGAAAATGATGGCTGGAAGTTTTTGGTTTCACTCGCCTCGTTTGAGTTTCACCTCCACATGTTTATGATTCCCTTGGTGATGGCTGCGTGTGTGGTTCACTGGCCTTGTTTAGTTCTTTCCTTAAAGCTTACTCTATGTCACATCGCATGTTTAGACACATACATGGAGTATTAAATATAGATTAAAAAAACAACTAATTGCACAGATTGCGACTAATTACGAGACGAATTTTTTAGAGAGAATTGCGTTATTGCCCTTGTCCAGTGCTTCAATTGTGATTTTGTCTCTCTTTTTTTAACTTTGTGATTTTACCCTCGTTTTTTTCAAAAAGAAACTCCCGTCTAACCTGCTTTGTAACACCTTCTAAAATGTTTGGATTAAATGATAAAAGAAAAGAAAAGAAAAAGAAAAGACACCTATAAAAAGACAATGATGCCGCTCAGTGCCTTTCTCCTTCCTCACCCGTTCGCTCGACCCGTTCCGACGAGAAGTCGCGGCCCGCAGATGGTTTCGCGGCCTGGCAGAGGCGCAGCTGCCGGCGGCGCCGCAGCTCCTCCTCCCTCCTTCCCCCTCCCCCCCGGCGTGGCTCATTCTCCCTCCTTCCCGCTCCCCCCGGCGCGTCTCCTCCTCCCTCCGCCACACTCCGGCGCCCGCTCGTCCCGGCGTTGCCGGCTAGGGTTGCGCGAGCTTCCTCCGGCGAGCTCCCCTCCACGCGAGCGCGAGCTTCCTCCGGCGAGCTCCTCTCCAGGCGGCTTCCTCCGGCGAGCGCGAGGCGCTCTCCACCCCAGGCGCTGCCACCCTCCTCCAGGCGCGCCCTCCACCCCAGGCGCCGCCCCTGCTGCTTCCCTCGGCCTTATCCCCTTCTCAGTCCCTGCCGATGGACAGCAAAGCTTCGGCTCGGCGCATCGACAACCCCAAAGGGCGGCCGCCTCCGCATTGCTGCACGCGTCCGGGCCGGTGCCGTCGCGGCTGTGCTGCGCAGGCGCATGAGCGGCCAACGCGGCGGCCTCCTCCTCCTCGCGTTGCACGCGGCCGGGTCGGCGGCGTCCCAGCTGTGCGCCTCAGGCGCACGAGCGCCCACCGGCGGTGGCCGCCCCCTCTCCCACCGGCACGGCGACGTGCAGCCGAGCGTGCCGCAGCCGCACCAAGGCCCGGCGGTGGCCGGCTCCCGGCACGCCGCGCTGCAGGCCAGCCCTGCCGGTGGCCGCGGACGCGATTGCCCCACCCCTGCCGAGGTCGCCCCGCCGCTGCTGCGCACGACGACGGTCGCCGTCCCGTTCTCCGTCTAGCGCCGACTCCGCCTCTCCCTCGCGTCACCCTCCGTCTCTTCGTCGGGCGTCCCCTCTACCTTCGCCTCTCCTTTCACGCTGCCTTCCAGGTCGGCATGAACGCCAGCCACCATGTGTTCGCTGAAATGCTCTTGAGGTAATATATGATGCAGTCCTGGTTTCTCCTCGATTATTGAGTGTGTTTGCCAAAGATTTGACTGCTGCCTTGCATTTCCTTTAGCAGTGGACAGAGATCTTTGGTTATTAACCATCAGTGAATCATCTGCTGGAGCCAGTCAGTCCTGCAGTGGCAGCGGCAGCGCCTAAGGCCCTCTCGCACGGCAAGTGGAGCACCAGCGTCCCCATCGAGCTTCTTCAGTATATGTGCATTTGTATTTATTTTTTGGTTACTCCTTTACTTTGTGTTAATTTTGGGTACTACCTAGATTATAAACTATGGTGTCTGCTCCTTGATTGGGTGACACTGCAAGGAAAAACACCTACAATGTCGTACTTTTCCATGCTGCAAATAGTTCATGTCTGTTTATCATACTACCTATGAATATGTGATTTCATTTCAGTCTATTGCCAATAAGAATACAAATTATTGTTTTCTGACAAAAGGAGAAAATGCATAATCTTCTATGCTCGTCGACTGCCCATTATTTATTTGGTACCCTTTTCCTGTCATTACTTAACAAACTAATTTTAGCTTTAGCATTAATGAGAAGTGCGTGGAGTTGAACTTAACATCCTGGATTTTTATTCGGTTGATTTAACTGTTTCAAAAATTTGGATGCAGGGATGGCCCTTTTACAGATGACCATTTTCCAAGGTTTAGCAGTGACCATTTTTAGCAGACTGATACAGTATATACATATCCAGGGATTCATCTTCGAGGCCATTCACCACTCAGCCTTTTCTGTTCATTCAAAGATTATCCTGTTGGCGTCACAAAAGGCCGTCATTGGTTTCGTAGACAGCATCAACTCTATGATGAATCTGAGGGCGTGTTCGGCTGGCTTAAAGCCAGCCGGCTGGCTTGTTTTTCCTCTCACAGAATCACTGTTCACGTCCTGCCAGAACAGTATTTTTCTCTCACAACAATCAGCCGGATCAGTCCTGCCGAACAAGCCCTCATGAAAGAGGTGCCTCCTTTTTATTAATTCCATTCCAGTTGCTGCCTATCACCACACACAGCCTGGACATGCCAAGATCTTTGGCTTCTTTGCAGCCCGGGATAAGATTGAACCTTTACGCAACTATGTCTACAGACGTGGGATTGACAATTATAAAGCAGTGTCTGTGAAGCGTAATTTGTTCTTACCTAAATGCTTATTTAACATTTCAAAATACCGTACAAAAGCTGTTGTTTGTTGGACGTGCACATTCAATCGTTATTTGCAAGTTGTGATGTCTGATTCCACGTTAC